TTGCTCTCACGCAGAAGCCCTCAGCGTTGGTCCCGCACCTCTGGTGTCTGCAGTGCCCGCACCACTGTCCTTGGCCCTGAGTGTCTCCAGCATCCGTGCCGTGAACAGATCTGCTCCACAGTGCTGATGGCGCATGGGGAAAAGACTGGCTGAGTTGGAGAGACATCTGAAAGCAGACTGCCTTGGGCTGGGGCGACTGCATCCTGGATGACCGAGGAGGAGGCAGGGAGGCCACAGAGATGTTAGCTATGGGGCTCAGAGCCTAGGCCAGGTCCACTTTGGCTGAGGCATGGCCCTGGTCCTCAGGACTCAGCTGTGCTGACTTCTGGGCCAGGATGCTCTGTGGCTGACACTGGGATGATGTAGAGATGCCGCCACACACCTCTCTGGTGACTGGGCTGGGGTGGCTCCCATCGTGCAATCAGCAGGCGGAGGGTCAGTGTGGCCTCTGTACTCCTGGGCTGCTCACAGCACAGCTGAGTCTAGGCTTCTACATGGTGGCCAGGGGAACAGCAGTGTCCCAGTCCTCAGAACAGACAGGGCTGCCTCTCTTCACCTGGGCTCACCGTCCTGCCAGCAACGCCTCTGCGGATCCTTGGTGGAAACCCTCACACAGGGACATGTGAGGAGGTGAGCAGAGAGAAGCTCCGTACCACAGAGGATGGCGGGATAAATCACGGCTCTGCTCAACTAACCCCACCCTCACCCAGCCCCACATCTACCTGCACCCAGTCAGGAGGCTGTGGGCTGAGGGCTCCAAGGTGCTGGGTACTCCCTGCTCTTAGGGCAGCCTCCCTCCGGCAATGGCACACAAGTCAGGGAGACCCCTCCTGCTGCTCCTCCGTCTTCCTCCCACCGAATCCTAGCTCTTGACTCAAGCACAGCCTTCCGTGCTGTGCACCCTCCTCCCTCCCCAGGAAACACAGGTGTCCTGGACACCCTTTCCCTCTAGCTCCCTAGACGGGGCTGCAGGGTGATTCACTGTGGCTTCCTCCCATGTGGCTGGTCTGCCATGGGGAGGACGTCCACGTCCACGGAGCTGCCCTCATGGCTCTGTACTAAGATGACAAGGACACATATGAAATGGACACTGAAATACACCAGGCATTATTGGCTTTGGTCACCACCACCCTACGCTACAGTAGACCCGACAGCAAGTCCTCATGTCCATCTGAGACTCTTCCCTCAGGCCACGACTCCTCCATCCCTCTCCCCTCTCCGCCTCACTCGAGTTCTACCCTGACCATGAGAGGTGACATCATCAGGATACAGCTCACTCAGAAAGCACCCGGACCACCCAGCCTCCTTTAGGATTGAGGGTTGTCTGGGACTCTGCTGGGTGCTACTTACATTGGGGCTGCCTTGTGTCGGCAGTGCCCACAGGGTGGCAGGTAGCAGCAGCAGCAAAGGGCCGGTAGGCAGCCTGTGATGCTCCTCTTGAGAGCCTTCCAGTATCGATGCCCACTGTTGGCAGGGGCAGAGTTGGTTCCGGAGCTAGAGTGGGGAGCTCCATGGCCTGGCTGGCAGGACAATGGGCATGACAGGGACAGGCTGGGAGCTGCAGGGCCAGGCTGGGAGTGAGCAGCAGGGCCAGGCTGTGGGGACACACTGGGAGTTGGGGTCCTCTGGATGGTCATGGGTGGCTAGGAGCCTCTGCCACCCTCTTCTTCTCGGGGCTCCATTCTGGGGCATAAGCGGCCAGTGCAGGGGACAGGCTCACTGGCCCTCCTCTAGGGGATGTGAGGTGACAGTGCAGTACTTGTCAGGCACCATGATGTTTTCTCTGCAGCCTTATGCACTGGCTTCACCCGGATGCTGAAGGCCTGGCTCTGCAGCAACAGGAAAGTTGCCATCTCATGATTATACTTCTTCCTCCTCAGGGTGTCCACTAACGGGTTGAAACCCATCCCAGCCATACAGCTGAGGATTACCCTCTTTGTGGGCACAGCGAGCGGCTCCGGAGGACTGGGGGGCTGGACACCCTGGATCCACCGGTGCTTCAGCAAGTTCTGCACAATTGGTTGCATCATGGGGTCGTGGTTTAGGATTTTGTTGAGATTTTTGGCATTGTTGGAGATGAAGTTGGGGTAAGAGACCATCCCATGAAGGATATTATCTGGGATTTACCCCCATGAAAGAGATGATCCCCAGTAACCATCTCGTATAATATCACTCAAGGGCCCAGATACCCAGGGGAGGGCCTTCATACGTCTGGTACAAGATTCTTTCTGGGGCATAGTACGCTGGTGTGCCACCAACCGCAGTCACCTCCTGCCCGGGCAGGAACCGGAACCCGAAGCCAAAGCATACCTTAGCATGGCCTTGGGTGTCGATCAAAACATTTTGGGGCTTGAGGTCCCCATGTACAATGCCCTGCTCGTGGAAATAATCCACTGCTCTCAGGATGTCTTGGAAAGTCCTCCAGGCATCCTTCTGCAGCCTCTGGCTCTTGCTCTGGAAGATCTCTTGCCCCAGATTGAGCCCCATCACATAATCCAGGACCAGGTATTCTTTGTCCTTAGTTTCTATAACCTTCAGCAACTGTGTGATGTTAGGGTGTTGAAGGTCCTTCAGTATCCCAGCCTCCATCGTAATGTAGGCTGCTTGCTCCTCTGCTTTTTTGAATGATTTCGTAGAGGTGGACTTCCGTGTGCCATGATGTCACACCAAGAACACCTTGCTAAAGCTTCCTTTTTCCATGAGGCCCAGCACATCATAGTTATTTTGTAGTCTGTAACTGTACCAGCTGGTCGTGAGTCCCAGCCAGGATGTTCCCTCATTACACTCACCAGGAACACTGCTTGGCACAGTGTAATGACATCCTACACTCCCCATAGCACCAAATCAATCACCAAATCTCCAATAACAATCTCTACCCAACTCTCAATAATCTCCGTCCACCCACAACAGACCCACCTGAGCCATGGCCTTATATAACTGCCATGATCTCACACAGCCTCCTGTGATGTCACAGACCCAACGGGCCAACGCAGAGCTGGCCACACCCACAGGGCCCCCTCACTCGTGACCATTAGGACCTTTTGTTTGTAACAGAAAAGGCTTGAAAATTTCTTGCTTGTGTGGGTTGTGGAGATTGACACAAGTATTTAGAAATGAAAATCAATCCATATGATGCTCCAGCATCCTTTTCCTTTCTGCTATACCTTTTGTTTTAGAACTCTCACGGTGTCTGCATTCAACATATCCAAGTCCTTTTGCTTTAAATTCTTGCTGGTTTCAGAGTGATGCTACAACTTCATTGACATTAGAGTAATGCAATGCTCTGTTTAGGAAATATGTCATGGCACAGTAATGCCTGCGCAGCTGACAGGAAGATATCTATCATAATTATTTCCCCCCAAAGACAATTGTTAGAGAAGTGCTATACAATCACACAGGCCCTGGCCTTGCCTCCATTTTCTTTTCCCACAAAGTGTTTTGTTTTCAAAATATAACTTTGTGCTGCTGGGCTCCTACCCAAACCAATGTGTCAAAATGGTTTGTGGCTGTTTGAACTTTGTGACCTTTCAGGGATGTTCTGTTAAGCTCTGTCCCCTCACAAGAAGGCTCTGTTCAGCTCCCCCCGCCCCCGCCCCAGGAACGTTCTCTAACAGCCCCTCTGCTTCTGGAAAGTTCTTGAACTCCACCCCCCCCACCACAGCCCCGCTTAATTAAGCATGTTTACCTACCCTGCAGCTCCCTATAGAGTGAGGCTCTCATTCCTGGTAGAGTGCTCAGAATCCTCTGAGCCCACTGGGACTTGCCAGTGAATAAAGGCTTTTTCCCACCTCTTCCACTTACCAGCAGTTTCCTGAACCTTCAAATTATGAGAACTGCTTATAGGAACCAAGTTTTCTGATTGAGGTGGTCTCCCTCTTTCCCCTTTGTTCAGAATGTAAAGATCAAGTTTTCTGGGCAGAGTGCTATAACAACCTCCTCCCTGTTTTTCTGTTCCTCTTTTCTGATTCAAGAGTCAGCTATTCTCTTTCTGACTCAAGAATCAGCTGTTCTTGTGAACTTACCTCCTCCCTGATAGTTGCTTAGTAATGAGTAAGTTAAAGATATTATATCCTTTGCTGAATATAGAGAGTTTGCCTAATTGTGTAATCATATAGGGTGTTCTTTGAAAACAAAGAACGTAGTGGCCCCCGCTGATCTCCTCGTGGATATTAGGTATTTCCTGTTTCCATCCTCCTATTCCTGTAAGTACCCCAGTTACAACCTTTAGTAATGAAAAGTTAAAAATAGCATCGCTCCCCAACCCTATATCACACCATGGTTTGAAAGTGGGTCGGGGCCTTCAGTTTGAAGCCGCTGTGACGGTGCCACTGGAGGTCCAGGCTCGAGCTTGCAATAAACTCATGTGATTTCATCAGAAGAGATTCCTTGGTGGTCTTCTTGGGGATTTCACAGCTTGGGTACAACATTTGGGGGCTCGTCCGGGATCCCCAACTGACCCAAGACTCTCTGGAGGAGATCACATGTAAGTCTGTCTTTTATTGTCTCTTTTGTGTTTTGGGTCTCACGAGGCATTTTGGATAGCCGAAAGTGGGTCATGGGTGGACGCGTCTATACGATGCCTGACTGGCCAGGGCCTTGAAAGACATTCCAGTCCCTGAAAAGGGGGTTAGAGTCCCCCAGAGAGTTACAGTCCCTCTGAATAGGGGTTCAAGTCCCCTGGAGGGTTAAAGTCTCTCTCAGAAAATTCTCTTCTGGGAGGAGGTGAAGTGGGTCGCTCCCGCGCTGGTGTTGGAACACCATCACCTTGGTTTTTTGTTTTCCTTTTTTGATCTGTTTTGTGTGTATTGCAATCTCTTGTTTTTGGTGTTTTTGTTCATGTCGACTGTGACAGACGTTGGTAAAATGGGACAGTCCCAGGCTACTCCCCTTTCTTTAATGATTGAACATTTTAAAGAAGTAAAGGCACGAACCCATGATTTGTCTGTAGAAGTAAGGAAAGGAAAATATCAAACTATGTGTGATCCTGAATGTGGCCTACTTTTGGAATTGGATGGCCACTAGGTGGCACTTTAGATTTTAAAATTGTTAAAAAGGTAAAGAAAATTGTTTTTCAGAGCCATGGTGACCAAACCCCTTACATCGTCATTTGGCAAGATTTGACAAATAACCCACCTCTTGAGCTAAAACTTTGCCCTCACCCACAGCGGCCGGAGCCAATATTGGTTACCAAAAAAAGAAGGAAAATTCTGAAGATCCAGCTCCAAAAACACCCCACTGGATTGCTTTCTCACTAATTTTAAATTGACTTTTTCCCTGAGCAGAAAGATGAATACAGAGTGAAATTCTCCAGTGGGAAAGAAGGGACTAACTGACACACCCTGTATTGGACCTAGACCCGAGTCCAACCAGAAAGAGTGACTTCCCGCCTCCTTGAAAAGGAAAAAGGCATGCCCCTGGGATTTCCTGTGTTCCTTTTCTAGGACGCGGAGGCCAGCTCACCGGTAGCAAAAAAGAAAAGGCGAATGACTGTAATCTTCTAAATGGTGAGATCCCCTGGGTTGCTCCCTAGTTTGTCTTTAGAAGGGGCCCCAAGGAAGAAATGTTTAACCTCTTGTGTAACTGTGTATATGAAAGAGACTTGGTTGGGAGAGTGAATAGAACGAGCTATGAAAGTCATCAGTAGCCTCATCTGTGCACCAAAACAAAGGCGTGGGTAGGTCCTTTGAGTCTGTGGCTGTGCTTAAAAAGAAAGTGCAGAGCCAGACTGGCAAATGGCACCCCACCCTTTGTTTGTCTTGTGTCACTGGACAAAAGAATATCTAATAGTCATGGAAAATGTTAATATTAAACCAACTGTTCCTAAGTGCATAATTCAGAATTCTGATAAAAATTTTGTGGGAGACTATAAGATAAAAATTGCAACCAAAGATGCTTTAAAAAGTTTGGAAATTATTATGGTCTCAGCTAAGCCAGACTTGGCCCCCAGGAAAAAAAAAAAAAGAGTAATCTTAATCTGCCTTTGTTTGTCTAAGACTTTGACAACTTACAGCCTTGTGTGCTCTAGGAGGTGCTTGAGCTTTTGCCCCGTGGTTGCTATTGAGAACTATTTAGTTTGTCTTAAAACAATTGGTGCAAATAATAAAACATGTGATGAGACTCATAAAATAAAACAGGGCTTGCACTCAGATTAAAAAGTATTAAAATGAAAAAATTAAACCTTTGATGGATTATAAATAGATAAAAAATTCTGAAGTATTTGATAAATGTATCTGTTTCAATTTGAATTAAGTTTAATTTGGTGTGTTTTAAACACTTCTTGTGTATTGCAAATTCTTGAATTGTAATTATAGGGTTAACTTGTTCTTTTCTGTACTCTGTTGATAAAAATTCAAGGTTAATATTGTTCTATTGACAGCCAGTCAAATTTTAAGATGTAACAATCTGAGAACAGGAAAAAAAAAGATGCTTTAAGATTTTAAAGGCTGAAGTTTGTTATAAAAGGTTAATAGTGACTGAGATGACAAAAAAATATATTAAGGCTAAAAGTAAGAGAGATATACTTTTGATATAAAAGGTTTTTGTATGTTTGTCTTGTTAAAAAGATATAAAGAGAGAGATACACAAGACGTTGGTTTCAAGTTTGTTACAGAAGGTTTATTTTTATAGTAATGAAGAGCTTTCATGCCTTTTGATTTTAATTCTATGAGATCTATTAGTTGATTTACAAAAGTTTTGATTAGTTTTAATTAAAAGAGGTTTTAGGGTTAGAGATTTATTTAGCTTAATGGTGCTGCCACCAGCCTTATAATTCAATTGGCCAAATATATTTGAGCGTATTATAGTTTCACATTGTTTTATAAGTTTGTGTGTCTGTACAATTGTTCAAAGAGTGTTTGTCCAATTATATTTGATTAAAATGATGATAAAGATATTAATAATTTGTTAATTTTTATAACCTGGTTTTATGAGTTAAAATTCTGTCAAGATAAATAGAAACTCAGGTCTAGATAGACTCCTGTTAATAGTAAAAGGATAGCTGCTTAAAAAATTTTTATTCTGGTCTTTGTTCACTAATGAAAGCCTCAATTTTCATAGTCCTCTGAAAAGATATGTCCTCAATATGGCTAAATATGTTGTTATAAAATGTTTATATTGGTTATCATCAGAAGGTTAGATTCTAAATATGATATGTTTATTGTGCTTATTTTCAAAATAAGATTTCTTTAAAAAATTGTTATTAAAAGGTTCTATTAAAATGCTTTTGATACCTATTTAGATTAAAGGCTATAAGGTCATATATAAAATGATGATTATTAATTTTTGGATGTACTAAATAAATATAAAATGGCATTAAATTACTGATGCTGCTTGAGGAGGCACAAGATACAAAGTTTATGTTTCTTAGAGATAAAAAGATTTAAAAGCAAATGAAAAAAAATTTAAAATAAAAGGTTTTTACAGGATCTAGATTCTAATCTTTAAGGGGCCCAGGAAGACAGTGATTATTATAAGGTAAAAAAACAAGAGTCAGCATTTAAACAGCTAAAATTAACTCTTTCTGCTGCCCCCTGTATCAAGAATCCTAAATGTGACCCAGCCTTTTAGTTTGTACCTGACTGAAAAGAAATCATATTGCTTTAGGGGGGTACTCATTAAAATAATAGGCCCATAAAATTAGACAGTGATGTATTTATTTTAAAATTTAGATCCAGCTGTAAAGAGATAATACCCTTGTTTATAAAGCCCTGACAGCTATAATAATGCTAATTAAGAAAGCTGACCAGGTAGCATTAGACAAAAGTAAATTGTTCGGTTTCCCCATGCCTTTTAAAACTATTAAATAACAAGACACTGATGGCTCTTAAATAATAGAGTCACATAATATCAGGCCCTTATCTGTGAGAATCCCTGCCTATATTTTGCTCCAGTTGAAACCTTAAACTCTGCTGCCTTTTGCCCTTGGAACCTGGCCCTCTGACCACAACTGCCTCAGGGGCACTGACGAATTGTTCTCCAGTCGTTCAGATCTGCAGAAAGACCCACTGCCTGAGGCTGATTTCGTCCCATTCAAGGATGAGAACAGCTTCATGGAAAATGGGATGTGCTATGCTGGCTGTGCAGAGATGACTCAAGATGAAATGGTCCAAACAGGACCCCTCCCCACTAAATGTTCAGTGCACTGAGCAGAGCTATGGGCACTCATACAGGCTCTCCATTGGGCAAAATAAAAGAAGGTAAATGTTTATACAGATTCCTGTTTGCCACTTGTTATGTCTGTGACACAGTCTACAAGGGTATGGTTTTCTCACAGCAGAGGGCAAACTTATTAAAAATAAACAAGATATAATGTAGTTGTTTAAGGCAATGTAGAAATCTGACAAAGTAGCTATAATAATTCAAGAAAGAAAAGATGCAATAGCCAATGGCAATGCTAAGGTAAACAGATAAGTCAAAAAGATAACTAAACAGAAACTTTAAATGATCATACCCACCCCCTGTAAAGGTTATAAATGTGTTAATATGGGTCTATATGTTTTTAGATGGCCTGAGGCCTTCCCTATAAAAAACAAAGAGGGGTTCAGAGAA